TTAAAAAGATTTATCAACAAGATTTATTAAAAAAATAATTTGCAAATTACTCCCTTTTCTCATATTTGTTAATATAGATTAACCCTTCCAGTTCAGAAATGTGCCTTATCAACAAATATGTTTCACCACTTTCACAGAATAGTATTTTTTTTCTAATTTCTAAGTTCAATATGTTCTTATCAACAAACATGTAGTGTTAAAATTGGACCTCTTTTTATTGTAATTTCCTCTTTTATAAGCAGTTGTCAACAAATCTTCAAAAAAGTATTATCAACGTATGTAAGTATTATTATCACTTTCTTCAAATAATTTTTTTCAATATTATTCAAGTCAAATATACCTATTCTTTTATTATTATTTTAAAATTTATGCATAAATGCTTAAACCCACCTTTTCAATTCTGAATGAAAGTTAAATGAAGTATTTAAAACATACGTATTCTTAATTTCTTGCATTTATTTATTTTAAATGTTTTAGTTTTTAAAGCTATATATAAACAAATAATTAGGTTTAAAAATGATTTTTAAGGGCTTTTAAAGTGGTTATGAGGATAAAAGATTAAATATTTCAATATCAGTTGTCAATGAGGATAAAAAAAAAAGTACATTTAATGTTCAAGAAATACTTTGAAAAATACAAATAAAAAAGAATAAACGAATTAAAAGCATTAATTTTTTTTCTAAAGGGAAAGAAATTTTATAATTCTAAAAAAATATATATATTTTTTTTAAAATGTCTAAATACGTAGTTAAAAGTAAATAAATTTAAACTTGCCTTAAAGATATGACATTATTAATTTTTTTTTCATCTGTCAGATAATAAAAGTAATGTGGTGTTATTTCGTTATTAATCATTAACATTCAATAATGTACAACGAATGTAAAGCAATAGGAAAAAAAACTAATAATTTTTAAATCTGCAGCGGAAGATTTTTCTTTTTATTTAACTTGTATCAGTCATAGTAGTTTGAATCTTTGAGTAGAAAAATAAAGATAATACAAAACCAGCATAACCTATTTTCCAAATAAAAGAAAATGTTCCAAAGAACGAACAAGAATAAAAACCAACAAAGATAAAACTAACACTCAAGTTTTTCATTAGTTTTTTCGTCTTCATACTTTTCTGATTGTCTCAACATCGGGGGGTGGGAGTGGAGTACAACATAGTAGGTGTCCGTGATTTCTGTGGAATCATTTTTACACCTCCTCTTCCTTTCTCCCTTTTTTGGGGGAAAAGCTTTTTACAATGTTTCTCCACACACATGTTTTCCCTTTCACCCCCTAGATTATACGCTTAGAAATCCCTATTTTTTTCCTGTTCCCCCTTGGTCATGGATTATGGTCAGTTTCTGCTCTCAATCTCATAGACAACAATAAGTGAGATTCCGTTTTGATTTTCGAATCAGCTTTGGCCGCCATACTTGGCCTTTCGTATGTTTTTAGAAAGAATTTAAAAATCTTATAGCTTTTGTAATTATCATCTTTATATAAGTTCAAAATGTAGAGAAAACAAGGAGAAATTTACAGAACAGTGAAAAAAGGGAAAAAGGAAAAAAAAATAATAGTAAAAATAATACAAATCTAAAGAAAAAAAACGAAACAAAAGGAAAAAAATTAATAAAATTATTAATTTTAATGAAAATTAATAATTTTATTAATTTTTTTCTTCCTTTTTTTCGGATTTTATTATTTTTTTCTTTTTTCCTTTTTTCATTGTTCTGTAATTTTTTCCATGTTTTCTCAACATTTTAAACTTATTTTATGAATTCCATTTACTATATATATATATATTATCTTTTCTTAGCAGCGAAAGCCCATTGTTTTGAAGATAGGAGGGCTTCAAGTCGCCTGCGGAAATGGAACTCTTGCCGATGACAATTTAGAGCCTCAGTAGCATGATTATCAGCATTGAAATTTCTTAATAGAGAAGAGAATAAGGAAAACCTCTTACTGTTAGCTCTACGTCAAAAAGATTTTAACACATATTATGCTGCATAAGACATTTTATATTAGCAATATTGATATTGCTAAAATAATAATTATTAATAAACTAGTTCTAAACAAAGATTAGTAGTATTTATAAAAAATGTTAATAATAAATTTTAATTAGATGTTAAAAAATATTTTAAAACTAACAATTTATTAAAATTCATAAAATTTTTCTAAAATTATTTTTATATTTTTGAGATTTATTTTAAATATTTTATAAACTAAAATGAAAAAAATACTGCTTTTAATTCTTTTTTTAAAAGATTAATAACGATGGAAACAGTACTATATTCATTAAAAGAAGCAGAACTATTTTGATTGTAGTAAGAAAAAAAACAAATTAATATTTTTTTAATTCGGAATAACAATGCCAAAATTTCAATTTTTTTATGAATTATTATTTGATTTTTTTTATGAATCATTTGCTACTCTTATTCCTTAACGTCATTTTAGCTCTTAGTTCCAAAACATTTGTTCATACAAATACGAATTTTTGTACGTACAAAGTACATAAACAATTATAACTTTTAAAGTTAGAGAGATTGAAAGAGGAACATCTAAGTATCTTTTCAAATCATTAGACAAACATTCCTAAATCTTCCATGCATTCTTATGAATCGAGGGTTAGTAAAAACCATATTCATTTAATATTAATATTTATTTTCAAGTTGTTTAAGAATGTAAACAATTAAATGTCGTTTACATTAATTCTTTCTGGATTTAATATGAAGTCATTAGTCGTTTTTAACAGATTCAAGTTATAGCTTACTTTCATTATTATTTTAAATAATAATGACATTATTTTAAAAGTCTAGTGAGCTTCCTAAAATTGTTTTTCAAGTAACTAAAATGTTTTGGGTTCCGTGGCCAAACATGGCTTGCTACAAAAGGACTTGGTCTTCGTTATGGAGATCCTGTTGTAAGCATGGACATGAGTTGGGGTCATATGGAGTTATTCGGGGAACTTGGATTTCGTACGGTTGGTTTAACGCAGTTGCGGTCAGCAATCAGGGATTTTTCTGTTCTTTTATACCTCCCTCTCTTTTATTTCGTTCCAATATGCCTCCAATAGGAGACAGGCGATAAGTAAGGATTTTTCATCGATGTATCTTAACGCTTTCTTTTTCTCGGGCTCAATAAAAGAAGGAGAAATACTTGCTATAAATCGTGCATTTTCTTGAGAAAAAAATCAATGTAGTCAAAAACAATATTTTAGGAATAAAAACGATGATTTTTACATAGGGAATGAATATCGCTTAGCGTAAATTAAATGATGAAATATTTAAAGCTTATAAGTTAAGTTTATAAGTCAAGTATAAGAGTCATTTAGTTTATAAGTTAAAAGAGGTTTAACAAAGAAATTCAGAACGTAGAAAAATAAGATTTCCTAAACCAGTTGTTCCCAAATAGTGTTCAGCGGAGCTCTAGGATTCCGTGAAAAAGTCACAGGGTTTCCGAGAGTTAGAAATTTCTTTTTGCTACTTATAATTTTCTAAGACTGTAATTAAGGCTTTCAAATATCCAATTAATAATTCATTACTTATTTAATATTTCCGTTATTTTTATGAAATTATTTAATATAAATGCTTGCAACCAAAGAAATTTCAAAGCAATGTTTTTTCTAGTAGTAATATAATGAATGAAATATGAAAAAAATCTGAACTTGACTTTTCTAGCACAAGAGTACATTTTCTAGTACATATTTTTTTTAGCAATATGCAAAAATACATTCAAAAGAGAATGCTTAAGTTTACTACACATTAAAATTAAATATACTACATGCAATCTAATTTAATGGAATTTACTTCCCGTTAAATCCAATCGGTGGTTAATTGCCAACAATTGTACTCAATGGAATGAATGATTACTAAAAGCATTTCTGCTGATATGATTTTTAAACTTATTGGGTATGTACTTTATATGATTAGTATCTTAATTCTCTCAGAGGCCTATTTAGGTAGTATCAATGTAGATATAGTTGTAAATTCTAATTTTTAGACCGTACATGATTTTTGTCTATTTTTCTTTTGTATAATACAAAAATACATTCAGATGAGTATGCTCAAGTTTACTAAGTATTAAAACTTGATATACTTTTCGTGTGCAATGTAATTTAATTGAATTTATTTAACATTAAATCCAATTAGTGGCTAATTGCCAACAATTGGATCCTTTAAAACTATGTACTAAACAACAAGAGTATCATATAACAGACTATTTGGACTTAAAAGTTATAAAGAACATCATATACCAGACTACTTGGACTTAAAAGTTATAAAGAGCATCATACAACAGACTACGTGGACTATAAAGAGCATCATATAACAGACTACTTGGACTATAAAGAGCACCATATAACAGACTACTTGGACTATAAGGAGCATCGTATAACAGACTACTTGGACTATAAAGAGCATCATATAACAAACTACTTGGACTATAAAGAGCATCATATAACAGACTACTTGGACTATAAAGAGCATCATATAACAGACTATTTGGACTATAAAGAGCATCATATAACAGACTACTTCGACTTAAAAGTTGTAAAGAGCATCATATAACAGACTACGAGGACTATAAAGAGCATCATATAACAGACTACTTGGACTTAAAAGTTATAAAGAGCATCATATAACAGACTACGTGGACTATAAAGAGCATCATATAACAGACTACTTAAACTATAAAGAGCATCATATAACAGACTACTTGGACTTAAAAGTTGTAAAGAGCATCATATAACAGACTACGTGGACTATAAAGAACATCATATACCAGACTACTTGGACTTAAAAGTTATAAAGAGCATCATATAACAGACTACGTGGACTATAAAGAGCATCATATAACAGACTACTTGGACTATAAAGAGCATCATATAACAGACTACTTGGACTATAAAGAGCATCCTATAACAGACTACTTGGACTTAAAAGTTGTAAAGAGCATCATATACTACCTCTACTGGAGAGTAAAAATGCATGCAAAGGAAAGTAAGTGATGACATACCAGTTCTCCCACCCTCTGTGCTGGATCTCGGAGGCGGTGCCCATCATGTACAGACATTCCAACTGCCTAGAGGGTGAGAGAAGACAGTCATCAGCTTCCTTCATCACTACTAAAATACGCACACAACATACTACTAAAATACGCACACAACATACTACTAAAATACGCACACAGCATACAACTAAATTATGAAACGAAGTTAGTGAAAGCGCCACGAAATGTTTCAATTTTTTATACGTAAACAACGTTTGACAGTCAAATTATGAATATTCCTGTTGGAGTCACGGTGGCTCAGGGGATAGAGCATTCGCTTCCCAATGAGGTGTCCCAGGTTGGAATCTCATCGGTGGCTGGTTGATATGGATTCTGCTGCCATCTCGCGCTGGCAGTGCTGACGTAAAATATCACTAATGGCTGACGGACCATGGGTTAGAGTCTCTTGCCGAACCGTGGGACATCTTCGTGGTTTTTCCTCTCCGTGTAAAGCAAATGTGGATTAGTTCCATCAAAAAATCTTCCACGAAAGCAAATATTCACCCTATACTTCATCGAACAGTTCCCTTGTCGCCTAGATTGAGTTAAAAATTACGAAGCTGCGGAGTTGTTTATTGATAGTGGTAAACTCAGCAAAGTCTCAGAAAATTGATAACATTCAATTCATTAATTTCAAAAATTTAGAGAAAATCCACGTATTGTTAAAAACTTCAAATGTTGCTACTGGGTCACACAGAGTAAAAATATATTTAGAGAATTTATTTAAAATAAATTTTGAAATTAGCGTTAAGTGATTAGTTAAAAATTTGCAATTAAAACTTAAAGGGCCCGCGCTAAGCCACCTCGATAAATGCGATAAAATAGCTAATTTTCGAATGAAATTGCTTTTAGGCGAAAGTATAGGCGAATAATTTTTACCACTGGAAAAAATATATATACTTAACTCGATCCTCAAAATAATGTCAAAATGAATGTTTATAAACAAATTAGTATTTCTTAATTTGATTACAGTAATATTGGTAGATGGTCCGCATAACCAATTAGAATTGGATTCAAATAGTATAAGCCTGAAAAAAACTACAGTTAAATAGTTCTCTATTGGAAAAAAATTAATCATAAAAAATTGTTAAAATTTACGTTTGACGAAGACTTTCAAAAATTGGAGAAAACTTTTGATATTTGGCTAATAATTTGAAATCCTTAGCGTGGGCCCTGAAAACGTACTAAAAGCATAATTAATTTCAAAAATTGATATAAAGGAATTCAATGACAAAAAAGAAAATTGGCGAAAAGGATCCTGTTGTTGAAATAGAATAAAAAATGAAATAAACTTGTCGTACTAGAAAATCTATTCAAATTTGATCATCATGAGATAAATTCAATTCCAAAATTTGTAATGAGGGATCTTCTTGAATAAAATCATCAGAAAAATACCGACTTATTATAATTATCACGTTTATCAACATCACCAAATGTTCTTCTGCTACTCATAATTAATAATAATTATTTGTATTTGCTATAATTTTTTTTAAAATGGTTATCATATTTGTATGAGATTGACAAGTAAGTATTGTCTTTAGTAAAAGACATAATTATAAAACGATGATTGATTACAGAATCTTTAACAAACATAAATAAATTGAAGTAAATTTACGAAGAAATGTACCTGATTTTTTTTCAATTAGTTTTAATATCTGAAAGAGTAGTGTGTATATAATAAATATCAATAAATGTTTTGGATAATTATTATTCTTTTACACACAACAGTCATAGCACAAAATTTAAATTTTCGTCTCCCAAAGATAGTTGTAAAACGAAGGAACTATTGGCACTATTTGCTTTAACATTGCATTAGTGGTGGGGCAAATACGGCTTCATTAATTGCAATGGTTGGAAACTTAGGAGGGAAGGTAAGGGACATTTCAAAGGTTGGAAATTTCGCAGCAAGCTATGATAGGAAATGTAATCGTACGCTGCTAGGTGCGCTTCCCTATATTAGACTAAGTGTTCATGAGTATTTAAACCAGTACATTTATCGATCTTAATAATCGAAATTTTATGTTTTCTGATAATTATTGCCAAAATTTCATTATATCGATCCATGTTTAACTCTTTTATCGTAAATTATTTTTGTGGCAAAAAACTTGTAAAGCTTGATGATTTAGTTACTTAATCATAAATTTCGATGAACTAGTTTATTTCTGAGCTAAGTTGAGTGCAATTTGTGACAACGATTATTAAAAGACATTTATGTAAATAAAGTTACCATAATTCAAATGCCATAATCCAAATTTCACATGAATACCCGATCCATAATGAGGATGCACCCATAGCTGCGTACAATGGCATTTCCCAGAATTAGTTGCAGTGCAATTCTCAGTCCATATGATGTGCCCTACCTCTTCCCTAAGTTTGTAACTGCGGTACTGAATCGCATTGCATTTGTTTCACAACAAGGCCTTCAAATGTAGTGTTTTTTCTTCTCGAATGGCAGGCACTGAACTTTATTCGTTTCACCTTAGAATATGCCAGAGGTGTTACTCATTTCGCGTTACCCAGTGGGTACCTGTGAACCAGAGCCCAGAGCGGGATTCGAACCCGCGGCCATTGGCATCGCAGTCAGGAGCGCTAACCGCTCAGCCACCTGGCCGGCTTGAAATGTAATGTAGGAAGATGTTGTTTTTGCAACCAGAACGCATTTAAAAGTTACTGTTATTTAAATATTTTGTACAAGTATTCGATTAAATTATAATAAATTAATTTATTGTTCTAAGAAAATTGATTTCCTAGTTTGAATTATCCTAACTATGCAGCTAGAATATTTGCTCTAACCATGCATTTACTAAACAACTAACTGCAAACATGCAGTAGGCATAGCTATAAATTTTCTCTCGAGGCTGGTTTTAAGATTAGACACTTTCTCCTAAACTACCCGAACAAAAATACTGCGACAGTGGGCATTTCATTTCTTGGCGTAAAACTGCAATTGGCGCGAGAAAAGCGAGGAGTAAAATCTCCCCCACAGCATTCGAAGAAACAAGGAATAAAACTTTCTTCATCGTCTGCCTGTCATCTAATTGGCTTTCATCATCATTATGGGGCATTGTTTTCTCTCTCCCTTCTAGCCCATTAAACAGATCACTTCCCTGATTGACCCCATAAACTGACCCCCCTATCCTTAATCAGGGGTAATGGCCTAAATGATGAGGGTCCACTACCTAGCGGTGGCACTCACACATCTATGATGGGGTAGGAGGTGGGAGTGGAGAGTATTTCTTAACTCCTTACATAAGAGTGCTCTTAGCTTAACTTAAAGAGAACTTAGGGGATGTTGTTCGGTCCCTCTGGGTCCAATTTGCTTTTTTTGCACAATTGCGACGATATTTTTCGATATTTATCAATATCTATATTAAAAGCATTTAATTTAAGCGGTCTTAAACTTTTTGAAAGAACAAAGGATTTTTCTACTCGTTTTCGTGCTTAAAATGTCTCTCTAAAACCTGTTTAAAATATATTTTGTACTTTGTAACATATTTTTGTACGAAAATAAAAACATTTTGATGCGAAAATGATGTTTATATAATTGAAATTCATCTAGGAATTTAGCTATAACTGCTAATATATTTAATAAAAAATATTTAACGAACTTTTTTTGACTAATTAGTTTGCCTGGTTTAAAAGAATATCAGTAATTTAAAGGTAGTTAAACTGATTAAAATTTTAATCGAATATATAAGCAAAACATAAATTGTGTATTCATTTTAGGGTAAATTTTTTATTTTATTTAAAAAATAAAATAGAATTTTATTGATAATATAATAGAGAAACGGAAAATACAACAAATTTGCGAATTTACTAAATATTAAAAGGACATATAAACCAGCTATAGTAAAGTACTAAATATTAAACCTGAAAAATTTTTGTAGATAAACTAAAGTTAAATATTAACTTTTATAATTGAAATATTAAATGCATGCAAAATACAATTAGGTTTATTACATAATATACTAAATAAAAAGGCTAATATATTTGAATAATAAATAAATTTATTAAACTTAAAAAAAAAGAGATGTCTAAGCTGACGTCACATCACTTACATGTCCACTGGGAACCCATCAATGATCAATCAGATACAGATGCAACCAATAAGAAAACGTTTCTTTTGAAATATGAATACAAATCGTCCAATCAATAGCAATAGTTCCAAAAATTAGTTGCTATTCAAAATCACAAAATTGCGACAATTAATTGACTTATTTAATTCAATAATGATATAGTTCAGCCTCTAATTTAGACATCTAAGTTAATGGATAAGTTTAATCGNTATATATAATAGCACAATAGAGACCAAAAAGATAAAAAGAAAAGAGAGAATTAAGGAGAAAATTAAGAAAAATAATACATTTTATTTACTGTGCATAATCTCCAAACTATATAGAACTCATAAAAAATATAGAGGAATACATGGAAAATAATATAGTAAAGATTAATAAAATTAGAAGAAGAAAAACTATTGAAATAAACTATTTCTAAAATATTTAAAAATGAATTAATATTTTATTATTAATTTTAATTTAATCATTAATATTTTTAAAAATATTTAAAAAAATATTATAAAGACGGAAAACAAAATAATATATATATATGTTTCTCAAAAGTTAACTAATAAGGCATAACGAATCCTATTTTGAACAAAATGATCAAAACTAATATGTAATTAAATAAATGAAAAAGATACAATTTTCTTTATTTTCGGAAAGCTTGATTATTTCTGAATACATGTACAAAATTATGTAAAATGAGAGAAACTGGTTTTGATTTATTCGGGAAGTAATTTTCCAAATAAATTGCAAATTTACCTTTAAGCATTTTAATTTCTTACTAAAAAACACATTTTAATTCTGAACTTAAACAATACATTATAATCCTTCACTAAAAAAAAAAATAACCCTTTAATATTCTTCTTTTAGTAAAAGTAAATTTCGTTGAGCAAGCGGAGAGTAATCGTATTTTCTGAATATTACCCCGTAAAATTGTTTCTCCTTTACATTAGATATACCGCACTGATGCAA